ATCCATGGATGAAAGGTTTTATTGCTTTTTTAATAGAATTAAAGTAATGGAGGCACTAGAGGGATGGCTGAGTTGTTGAGAGCGCTGGCTGCTCTTCCAAAGGACCCAGGCTCAATTCACAGCACCCGCATGGCAGCTCACGACTGTAAGTCCAGTTCTGGGGGAGCTGACACCCTCTTCTGACCTCTGTGGGCACCAGGCATGTACACTGGGCACATAAATGCACGTAGGTAAAACACTAACTGTGCTGGATAGTTTTATGTCAACTTGACACCAAAAGTGTCATCTGAGAGGAGGGAACCTTAAGAAAAAGGATTTCTGTGAGTTCAAGGCCAGACTAGTCTTCCAGGACAGCCAAGGCTACACAGGGAAACTCTGTCTTAAAAAACCAAAAACACCAAAACAAAACAAAACAACAAAAATTGGATGGTGGTGCACACCTTTAATCCCAGCAGAGACAGACTCTGTGAGTTCAAGGGTAGCCTGGTCTATGGAGTGAGTTCCAGGTCAGCCAGGGCTACACAGAGAAAACCTATCTCAACTGTCTCAAATAACAAAAAACAAACAAACAAACAAACAAAAAAAAACAAGCAAGCAACAAAAAAAAATTGGGTTGTAGGCAGACCTATAAGGCATTTTCTTAATTAGAGATCAAAGGGGGAGGACCGAGACCATTGTAAGTGATGCCATCCCTGGGCTGGTGGTGGTCCTGGGTTCTATAAGAAAGCAGGCAGAGCAAGCTATGAGGAGAAAGCCAGTAAGCAGCACCCCTCCATGGCATCCACATCAGCTCCTGCCTCCAGATCCCAGCTCTGCTTTAGTTCCTGTCCTGACTTCCTTCAATGATGGAAAGTGATATGGAGTGTAAACAAATAAACACTTTCCTCCCAAAGTTTCTGTGGTCATGGTGTATAGTGATATTTTATTTGCACTAAAGTGTGATTTGTATGTTAATAAATAAAGTTGCCCAGGGGTCAGAGCTATTAGAGCCATAGCAAAAGCTGGGTGGTGGTGGTGCACTCCTTTAATCCCAGCACTTGGTAGGCAGAGCTAGGTAGATCTCAGTGTGTTCAAGGATACAGCCAGCATTGGAGACACACACCTTTAATCTCAATACCAACCATAGAAGACCTGGATGTCTGTACAGACAGGCAGTGACGAGGCAGTCATGTGGGTGGGTTTACAGCCAATGAGAATGGAGAACAGAAAGTCTATATAAAGACAAAAACAGAGGAAGTAGGTCTCTTGGCTGAAGATGCTAGCTGCAGCAGATGGGTAAGGCTCTTAGCTCTGATCTCTTGGCTTTCTTCTTTGTATTGGTTCTGTGTTTCTTACTTAATAAGATGGTTGGTTACATCTACATTTGGTGCCCAATGTGACAAGAATCCATTAAAAACCGCTAGGCTTGGCTTGGCGGCAGGTCCAGTTTCCAGCCTGGGTGGCCCGGCTCCCTAGCTTGGGCCCAGGTCGGCTTGGTCTCAGGCCGGACAGACCGTAGCCCCAAGCGGTTACATGCAGCTGTTGCTACTCGCTTAAAGCCGGTGCTACAAACAACTCAGGCCTGCCCTGCCGAACAGGGCCCCTACCTGTAAAGCCAACGCACATGGTCAGAGCTTAAGGAAGCCAGAGCCCAGGCTTGACTCGGCTCAAGTGGGAAAAACGTGGCTGATTTAAGCTTTTAGCCAGAACTTGTGGCTTCTCTCTCTGTCTCTCTCTGTCTCTCTGTCTCTGTCTCTCTCTCTCGATTCACACCTTGGACACTAGGTGGCTGTTTTGAAATTCCCTCAGATTTCTACTGTTCTACACAGACTTAGTAACTCAATTAAGATATCAAACATTTTAAAGGAAACTATTTAAAAGAGAATTTTTCCACATTAAAAAAATGGGTTTTATGTGTACATTGGAAGAAAATTGGGCTTTGTTTGAAATTTTAGGCAGTCTGACAATGGAACAATTATATGAGAAGATTAATATTGATTGAATTATGCAGTTTATTACTTTTCTTATCCTCATTTTACTATTTAAAAAGATAGTCAATTTAAGTGCCAGTATAACAGTTTTAGAAAAACCTGTAAAAATGAATTATAGAGAAATTCAAATTCAGACAGAAGAAATTAAAAGTGAAGTTGTTTCAAAATTGGATCATAAGGTTACAGAAAGAAAGCCTGTTTTCACACAATCACCCTTAATCACCTTACAGCAGCTACCTGGTGAAAGTGAATGAACAAAATACTTGGATTCCAATTGAAATGTTAGACTTACGAAGATTTGAGGAGGCAATAGCATCTTATGCCATGCATTCCCCATATGTAAAGCAAATGTTAAACACCTGGTCACTTGTAATAGGATTCTACCACAGGACTTGTGGGAGCTGGCACAGGCTGTTCTGGAACCCAGACAGAATCTCCAGTGGCAAATGTGGTTCAAGGAGGAGGCTAAAAATATAGAAAAACAATGGAGGGATAAAGGAACACAAGTCTGCCAGGATCAGCTTATTGGAGAAGGCCAATATGCTTCAG